TAGTTTTCTCCAGTGACTGTGTGTGTGTGTGTGTGTGTGTGTGTGCAGCATGCAGCTGTGTTCAGAGCAGACGGTGTGCAGTACTCCTCTCACAGTTCACTGGACACAGGCAGTGATGTGATGCCCGCAACACCAGCCTTCCCCATCACACCACCCACTCCATACGGTAACAGACACACACATACACACTCTCTCACACAGACAGACACACACACACACACACACACAAGGACACTAGTTGAGTCCTTCCTTGTCGAGCAGTTCATTAATTGTTAGTATTTCAGTTCAGTTCAACACTCAAGCCATGAATCAAGAGTATCATCAGTTTTCAGATTTAAATGATGTAAAGAGCCATCATCAGTATCTGCACACATCCACACTCCACCTGCTGTATCTGTCAGAGGGATTGATCTGTGTGTGTGTGTGTGTTGATCTCTGTCTCCAGTGAAGAGCATGATGGGTTATTCACCCTTCAGACAGGCTCCGTCTCCTTCATTTGGATCTTGTAGAGCTGAACACGGTAAATCACACGATTCACTCACTTCTGACCTGTTTGAAGGGAACTGAGGCTGCTGAAAGACATCTTTATGCTAACTTGTTTTATCAAACAATCTTGATATAGTTTTTACACTTGCAAGTGGCATCTATATCTACACTGTGTGTTTACTTGGTTACATGACATTTAAATGCATGAATTTAGCAGATGCTTTTATCCAGAGCAACTCAAGACAAAAGAGGCACAAAGCCCAGTTTACTCAGATGCTTTAATGTCACATCGGGTCTAGTGCACAGCTGACAGAACACTAAATATGATGAAAAACACAGCAAGATGAAACTTATTAAAATATAACAGGAAAAAAACTACTTCCTGTGATGTGAAAGATTTGGAGGAGTTGATGGAAACACTTAAAGATTAATTAAACTGGATTAAAGTATGTGAAAATGTGAAGTGTGTCACCAAATGTAACTCCAGACATTTCAATCAAGTTTCCCAAACACAGATTAGCTCCGCCCCCAAACTCACCTGATTGGCTGAGCTGATCATGATGAATGAGTGACAAGAGTGTTCACACACCTCACATTCAATTGTTGTCGTGTGAGTGTACGCCGAAGGGAGAGTGTCCTGTTCATGTTGTTCTTTCAGAAATGAGAGAGACCGCAGTATTCATGGGAGCTTCAGATGAGGGTTTCCAGCATCACAGACCGTTCGTCGCTGGAGTCACGGCCTTCTCTGACCGGTACAGCTGCACTCATTCATCCATAAAGCCACGGAGAGCAGTATTCAGGTCTAGCAGAAAGACATGCTGAAGACAGATTTCCACAGATGAAGTCCTGACCTGTCTCCTCTGGTCCAGACTGGGTGTATTTATTGCCATGCTTTGATTAATATATTGGAATATTATATACTTCAATTAAATGTTAACATGTTGCATCTGCAAGGTTTCATTTTAGTGAAATAAATCAAACTTGAAAGGTCCTACTAACCTCCTTCAAATCAAGCTAGTTAATTAAGACCCCTTTTTTTCTGTAGTCCAGTCACATTTATTTCTACAGCACTTTATACAGTACAGGTCATTTCAAAGCAGCTTCACGGTCATAAACAGGGAAATAACTAACTAAATAGTGCTAATGTTGTAACATTCATCAATTATGAACCAAACTGGGTTTCAGCTGTAAAGCAGCTTTACTGGAGACAATAGAGTCATTATTCAGATCAATTCAGTTCAGTTCAATAACTGTGTCAACCTTACAATGTTACAGCAGTGACTCACTGAGTCTCTTAACTCTTTGTAAATAAGTTGGCAGAATGTTTAAATGACTTTAAGGTCAAAAAATAATAATTCCAGTTTGTGAGGTTCAGGTCATCATGTATTAATAACAGTATTGCAAAAATTGTAAGATGGCCATATTTCACTGGTCAAAATATCATTGAAATCTCACTTATTTTGTGTGAATATGAATATGTTAGTAATAATGATGTTGCCTGTATTGAAACCCTAACTGGTTCATCAAAAATTACACTATGAAAAACAATAAATAGTAAGCATGATTAATTACCAACAGATCAAAGCAGCATTATATTATTTGAAAAAAAAAGAAAGAACTATACCCAGAAATGTCATGCGTATATCATGTCAAAGAAGCACTACTCGCGTGTGCATGACCTCCCGTTTTCACACATACACATGTTTGTAGTTTACAGTAATGTATATCGTTTTCAAAAACTTGCACTTTGAAACCGGTTTTCAGAAGTTTGTGTTTTCAGGTCCCCAACACAACAGTGTAGAGTAAACGAATGGCCAAAATGCATTAAAAGTTTTCTGTTTTTAGTTGAAAATGAGTGCACCTCAGGAAACATTAAACTAATCTAAAAATGCATTTCATGAACCCTGTAAGATCAGATTGTAGCTCTGAATGATTTGAATTCTGACAGAATCTGATGTGAGGTTTGTTGTGTTGTTGAGGATGACAGTAGTGTGTTGCTTGTTGTTGAGCAGGTCTGCAGACTGTGTGAGCTTCGCCCCGTCCTCGGTCCCGTCTCTGTCCGCTCCAGACGCCCACAGCTCTCCTCTCAGCGGCCCGAGAGCCCGAGTCCTGCAGCAGACCTTTGAGGAGAAGTTCAGCCTCGGCCCGGCGCTGGAGGGACTGGATTACCAGCAGAAGCTCCTGCTGGCGTCAGACGGCGAGCACTCGCAGGGTTCAGCGTCTCCCAGCGGTTTCTCCAGTCCTCACAGCGGCAGCTCGCTGAGCATCCCGTTCCCCAGTGTCCTGCCGGAGCTGCAGAGCCGAGCGAACCCCGCCGCATCAGACCAGCTCTCCAGCAAACCACTGACGGTCAAGTTTGTCCAGGACACCTCGAAACACTGGTACAAGCCAGACCTCGCACGGGACCAAGGTAGGGTCCGATCGCGTGACGCCTGCTGGACGGCCGCTGTGTTTGACGCTCATCTGACCTCTTCTCTGTTCTCACGCAGCTATCGCGGTGCTGAAGGACAAAGAGCCCGGCTCGTTCATCGTCCGGGACAGTCACTCCTTCAGAGGCGCATATGGACTGGCCATGAAAGTGACCACACCGCCGCCATCAGCACTGCAGAGCCGGAGAGGTGCGAGGAGACCAGCGCTGTCCTCCACATGAGCAGCGCTGACATACAGTTAACATGTGAAACAGAGCATGTGTGATAGTCTCATAAGATACTACAGTTACTGCAGAAAGTGTTATAAATCAGATACTCACACACAACAAATGTGCTCAACAAACACACAGCAGGGCCCTCTGGTGGCCATCTAAGGCACAGCCGCTGAATACCGTGACAAAAATATACATTACTGTCATTTCTATTCAAAAATGTGTCATTTTTTTAAATAATAATTTTAATAATAATAAAGTTGCAGTTTAGTACATTTAAAATATATTAAACTTTAAATGTAATATCAAATAGCACTACAGTTAAAATAAGTGCTTTCTTTACATGTGCTTTAGTCAACACATCAAAATAAATGTAGTTTAAAAAAACTTAAAAATATTTCAAATGTAATTTAAAGTGAAACGTAATACGTTATTTGCATTTTTAAAAGTGTACTTAAGTTTATCAAGAAACAGTCATGAAAGTGTCTCTCTTGAAGTACATTTTTATTTCATTAATATTATCTTCAAGTACAATTTTATAAAAATATGCTTGTCAGATTTGAAGCACACTACAGATGCACATTCAGCACGGTTAAGCACACTTGTGTTTTTAGTAGTGTTGTGCTGATGGAGGCGTAAGCGTCAGCTGTAATGACAAACTCCAGATACGTGCTGCTTCATCTGTTATTGTGTCTGCTGTAATTCCTCGAGAAGAAAACGAGGAGGCGTCTGAAACCTGAGCTCAGTGGATAGCAGATCAGTGTTATAGACGGCATTGTTGATGTGTGTGTGTGTGTGTGTGTGTCAGGAGTGGATCTGTCCAGTGAGCTGGTGAGGCACTTCCTGATCGAGTGCTCGCCGCGGGGCGTCCGGCTCAAGGGATGCCCAAACGAACCCTACTTTGGTAAGTTCATCAGACCTGTGACTGATTCATGCTGCTGTGTGACTCACTCACTCATACTGGTGTGTGTGTGTGTGTCTGTGTCTGTGTGTGTGTGTGTGTCTGTGTGTGTGTGTGTGTGTGTGTGTGTGTGTGTGTGTGTGTTGCAGGCAGTCTGAGCGCTCTGGTCTGTCAGCACTCCATCACTCCTCTGGCTCTTCCCTGTAAACTCATCATTCCTGACAGAGGTATTCATCTCTTACTGTTCACTGCAAACATCAAAAATCAGTTCTGTTAAGTGATAATAAAGCGTAAATAAAATAAAACATTATGTAAACTAAAAATATCGCCTTAGTTGAAGTACTAAAATGACAAAAACTAAAACTGAAATAAAAATAAATGTAACTAAATAGAAAGATTTCTAAAAATAAAAAAATACAAATGACAAAAGTACACAACAAAATTAGCAAAACTTAAAATTGAAAACCCTAAAAGCTAATTCAATTAATAAATACTATAATAGTATATAAATAATACTGAAATAAATCATTATAGTATTGTGCAGCACGACTGTGTTCAGCATTGATAATAATCAGAAATGTTTCTCGAGCAGCAGATCAGCATATTATACTGATTTCTGAAGATCATGTGACACTGAAGACTGGAGTAATGATGCTGAAAATACAGCTGCGCATCACAGAAATACATTACAGTTTAACAGAGATTCACATAGAACACAGATATTTTAAACTGTAATAATATTTAAATTTATATAGCAGCAGAGATTTCTTTCAAAAACATGAACAATTTTTCAGGATTCCAGACTTCTGGCCAGTACACGCACTTAAGTAAACTGTGTTCATTTAACATCTCTGTTGTGTTGACATTATGAGCGGCTGCAGCACTCATGAGCGTACATGATTATAATACACATTATTCTCAGACTAGCAGAGAGTGCTGGGAGTGATGGTGTGCTGTTGTCTCTCCTCAGATCCTCTAGAGGACGCTGTCAGCGCATCCCCACAGTCCATCACCAACTCTGCATCCGAACTCCTCAAACAAGGAGCAGGTGCGTCCAGTAATGATACCTGAGCCATAACCAGTGAACGATTCCTCTCATAATCGCATGTTTTCCAGCCTGTAACGTGTGGTTCCTGGGCTCGGTGGAGATGGAGTCTCTGACGGGGTTTCAGGCGGTGCAGAAGGCCACCACTGCGGTCCTGAGCGCCGACTCGCTCCCGTCCTCCACCGTAGTGCACTTCAAAGTGTCCTCGCAGGGAATCACGCTCACCGACAACCAGAGAAAGTAAAGCAGCCCTCAAACATCACTGTGCATGCATGCATCTGACTTACACTGCATTCAAGATATCCGTGAGTTCACGGGGAACTGAGCCCTTTCTCTGAATGCAGGGCTGTAACACATACTCAAATTATACTTGAGGGAAAGTATGGCTACTGAATAAAAATCATTGATTAAAAGTCCAGAAACATACTTGAGAGGCAACTTTAAATTGAACTTGCTATAATTAGCTGTAATGTTTGTTCATGTGTGTGGAGCTGATGAAGCTAACACACACACACACACACTGTCTCACACAGACTGTTCTTCAGAAGACACTACGCAGCAAACACAGTCATATTCTGTGCTCTGGACCCGCAGGACCGGAGGTGAGTTCATCCTGCTCCGTTACCAGCTTCATGTCACTCACAGTCAGCTCTTTATTCTGTAATGCATTTCATTGTTGCTCTGTTCATTCCCAGATGGAGACGAGACGGCTGCGGCTCAGCCAAGTGAGTGCACTCGCTCCCATGTGTCTTCAGTTCACTGTTATTACAGGAGTTTATTACCTGCTTGATAAGAGATAGAGTTAGCTCTGATGCTGCTTGCGTGGATATTGAAAATACACTAAAATACTATTTTCTAATTTTATATGAAATATATATTTTGCAAAACATGTTTTACTCTAAAACTGTGAGAAAATCTAAGCCATAAATCTAAGCAAGTTGTGTTCCTAATTTGAGGTTGAAATGTAAAAAAGAAAAAAAGATTTAGATTTGTTAGATTCGCAGTACCAAACGCTTTCACTAGATGAGTTTCACTTCCCATTAGTTTCCAGTGCGCTCATTTTTGAACAGTACTAATGTGTAACACCATTTAATCTTTTCGAATCTTGTCCATGATTTTGTGTTCACATTGCAAGTGCCGAAACCTTTACCAGGTTTCGTACCATTCTGTTGAAGTAAGAAAAAGTCAAATGATTAGGTCAGAAACGACTGAAGAGCAGCAGAGGGTTAAAGCAGGGCTTTGCTAAACGACTTTCTTCCGCGGCAGGATCTTGGGGTTTGTGGCGAGGAAAGCAGGCAGCGGTTTGGAGAACGTGTGTCATGTGTTCGCGGAGCACGACCCCGAGCAGCCCGCCAGCGCCATCGTCAACTTCGTCTCTAAAGTCATGATCGGCTCGCAGAAGATGTGATGTGTTCATCTCACGAGTCGACAGAGAGACGAGGGACAAAACCTTCTGAAAACCAGCATGTACAGTGTTTGTATATTTATGCATTGAAAGTGTAAGTATGGTTTACAGACTCGAAAGGAATTAATAATAAATCTCAACATACGTGTGTATGAACAGTAATGCTTTTTTAAATTATTTTTAGTATTTTGTGTAATGGATCCTACTACTGATGACATAAAACCAAAAACGCCTTTATAATGTCATTGCATTTTAGATATCTACAGTGTATATTTAGTATTTTAAATTTTTTACTTGCAAATTTCTATTACATATGCCAAGTCGTTTTCTACCGGAAAAACTTTATACTTGATATATATACAGTAAATATAAAAAAGTTCTGCATGTAAAATAGTTTGAGATGTCTTTAGCTTCTCAATGGCAGTCGTGTTGTTCAGAACCAGTGCTCACAACACGAGTGCAGAAGACTGAAGATTTGTGATTTTAGGGTCTTACTGACTTGTGTGTATCGTATCTCTTCTTCATGTCATGATGCTGTTTTGATATAAAGTGATGACAGTAGTTGTGAAGGAGAGGCTGTCGTGTGTAGTACAGGAATATCTGTATTAAGGGTGTTCAGAGATGATTCATGATCTGTGTTGTTCTGTGGACCGCTGGACTCTCATAAACTCATCTGAACAGAACTGAGCAGCTGTCATAATGTTCAGCTAGCACAAATGTGCTGACTACATTCACACAGATAACGGTTGAGGGCTCTGCTTACTTATACTTGATCTCGTTAAAGTCACTGGTGATTTTCAGAAACTGAAATGAACCACACACACACGGGTACACACACACAGACACACACACACAGGTACTCTCACACTCACACAGACATTCACACACACTCACACGGGTACACTCACACTCACACTCACACTCACACTTACACAGACACTCACACTCACACTCACACTTACACAGACACACACACACACAGACACTCACACAGACACTCACACACACACACAAACACACACATTCTCTGAATATCAAACAGATACGAGGAGGATTCTTGTGTTTTTCAGTTAGCAGTATTGAATGTCTGTTCATGTACTTCATCTGATTCCATCAGTGGCAGAATCTGAGAAATAAAGAGTACAGACTGATTAAGATACATGTTTTATTGATTCATTTTAAGGCTGCAGATTTGATGAGCATCTGTGTTCTCTGTGACAGGACTGTGATGTAATGCGGCTGGTCCTCTTCATTCACACAGATGTCTTCAGCAGATCACCGTCTGCGTACTCTTCATTCACATGTATTGTGTTCCTGTACAGGTCAAAGTTCTTTATATCAAAGGGTTTGTTCACCCACAAGTGGAAGCTGTCATCATTCACTCACACTCATGTTGTAGAGACTCGATCAGACTGCGTGATTGCTCGCTCCACAGAACAGGTTTCCACTGCTCCAGAGTCCAGTATCTGTGTGTTTTACACACCATTATATTTGGTGATGTGAGGCTTCATGCAGCTGCAGCCTCTGAAAACCCATTCCATCAAGCTCCTGCACAGTTTTTGAGCTGATATTAAAGCCAGTGGAAGCCTGGATCTCTTCAGCTCTGGAATCAGAGTGCTGCTGACTTTTACACACTCAGTGAGCCGCTCTGAGACTTCACTTGATCTTCAGCTTCGTGTCTGAGTTGCTGCTGTTCATAAATGCTTCCACTTTCCCATAATATCACTTACAGTTGAGCGTGTAACATCTAGCAGGGATGAAACTCATCCTATCACAGTCCCACGCTTTAGTTCACTGAGCTCGTGTTTGTCACTATTGTTTGTAAATGCAGACTGCATGGCTAAAAATGGCACAAATGACTTTGGAAAGTACAATGAGGTCAGAGGATGAGCTGCTTATGTTTATGAGAATATTCTCACTACACAGTGCTGCTGAACGACTGGTTTTATGACCGGGGGCACTGACTTTAAAGTGCATTATCGCCACCTACTGTGTTGGAGTGTGGACCAGAGTTTACTGCACCATACTGAAAAATCTCTAACTAAAGGTCCTTTTCATATTCGTCATCCTAAAAATTTGTCACACACAGAAACCTTGCACACTGAGTCCGATGCATATTAATTAATCCCTTGCGACGTTCTCGAGTGCACTCATTCAATCCCACAATGCACTGCAAAAACGAGTGTACAACTGGTGCACGCTCAACAGCTAGAGAATGCCCATAATGCACCGTGAGAGTCACGCGCCGAATGAGATCCCGCATCTCGCCAGAAGATGGCGCCCGCAGCTGAATAATCAATCCGTTCAGTTTTACGAAGCGCTCATCCATGGCGTACAGCATAATGTACAACACGGGTATAAATTCATTGTAAATTGATTATTAAATTGTTTGATTATGGTTTCTACATAATTTCCGTGACAGAGTTCAAGATAAATCCTTTAATCTTCCCACTGGAGCTGCTAGTCTGCTAGTTTCAAATGATTAATAAACAGCAAGCACAGACAATGCAAAAGCGGCATTCCTTCCGGTGCACTCAGTGTCTGAATTCACTACTCGTTTCATTCACTCTTCACTCCTGCTAGTGAACTGAATTAGAGACCTAATGTAGCGAATAGTGAACACAGCCTGTGGTCCTCCTGCTGCTTCTGTGGTGTTACTGGCTCGGCGCCTCCTGCTGGACTGGAGGATGATGAACACTGAACTAGAAGAGAACTCATTTATATCGAGCAGAATTATTAAAGCACTCCTGCCTACTGTAATAACTAGCTGTCACACTTTACTACAGTAAAGACTCATTAGGGTTTGCTATGATGACTGATGCAGAATCTGACTTCATAAAGCTTTTTATCCGCTCTTCGTACACAGTAGATGCTCTCCAGATGAAGCACTCTTTAAAAGACATCTTGGAGACGCACATGTGCTGTCCGGGATAGAAATGTAAAGCACTAATGAACTGTGCGGGATTTTAGGGAAGAAATGGAATGACTTCGAGAGTGTTATCAAAGTGTTAGGAAGTTACGAAATTAGTGTCGTAACCATGTTTTATTGGTGTATTGATTACCATTTGTATTGAACTCAAGCAGCACGGGTAAACTATGGTTAGTGTAGCAACGCAATGCTTCATTTGTGGTTACCATGGTAACCGTGTTTTTCTGGGTTTATTTGTAGTAAAAGCATGGTTAATTTTCATAAGGGAAGGTCTACTAGCTAGGAAATAATCCATTTGAAGCTGTTAAACTGCTGCGTGACGGTGCGCACTGAAAACCTATTATTATTATTATTTTAATACGCAATTATGCACAAAATGAGTACAAACATATACATCTCACAACATTTATGAGAAACAAAAAAAGTCTTTTTAGCTTTTCTGTTTGTAATATTATGCAAAGTAGTACCATATTGTTTAATTTATTCTGTAAAATGTTCACCATTTTGGCTTTAAGCGAAACCCGCCAAACTAAGGCAAGCGGAAGAAGAACGCGACGCATCATCGCAGCTTCCGGCGGCACTATGGCGGCTCACGCGAGTGAACTGGAGATAGCGAAGAAGAACTTAACCGATGCAGTCGGAGACAACGTCAAACAGTGAGTGTGTGTGTGATATTATGATCTCTGAGATCACGAGTGTGTTATGATCTCCGCTCTATCCTAACATGAGTGTGTGAGCACTGATGATGTTAGCTTCTGTTAGCTTCGCAAACACACTGGTTTTCTAGTTAATGGCAGCACGTTCAGTGTAGCCCTCGGTAGTGTCTCGGTGACTGAAGAGTGTCTGGAGCTTGTAGCTAAGCCTGTGCTGTCGCTGGTAGTCGGGTCAGCAGCGGGGGAAGCCCGGCGTGCTGCTGCGGTGTCCGTCTCTGCTCACACTGCGTGTGTTCCTCAGTTACTGGGCCAATCTCAAGCTGTGGTTCAAGCAGAAGATCAGCAAGGAGGAGTTCGACCTGGAGGCGCGGCGTCTGCTGGCTCAGGAGAACGGTGAGCTCGAGCCCTGTGTAGTGTGCGGCATGCTGACTGTGTAGGTGACAGGCCCTCGCTGACCGCTCGCTTGTGTCCTCCGCAGTCCATGTTCACAATGACTTCCTGCTGGCCATCCTCACCCGCTGCCAGATCATCGTGTCCACGTCAGGTACTCACACACTCTCTGTAGATGCAAGGGGTTGTGCAGTGTTTGCTGTTGTTGAGTGTGTGTGTGTGTGTGTGTGTGTGTGTCTGTGTGTGTGTGTGTGTGTGTGTTGATAGAGGGCACCAGCTCGCTGCAGTGGAACAGCGGATCCACATCCAAACCAGGCAAACCCAACCGAGGCAAAAAGAAGTTTCCCTCCGTTCGGCAGAAATTCGATGTGAGTTCTGTCTGCTCATGACTGTATTTCCCAAACCAGGGTTATGCTTTATTCCTAAAATAACAAATATCTGCCAGTGGGGAATGAGAACTTGTTTTCCATTTGAATTAAGTTGATTTTTCTGACTCCATTGACAGATATTTGTTTTTGTTTAAATCATAAACTCACTTCATTTTGATAAATTTCTCAGAAAAAAAGACTTCTTCTCTTCTGTCCTTCTGCTTCTCCAGTAAATGTGTCTTGATTTAAGAATCGTTTGAACTGGAAAACAAGACAGAGAGACTGAGGAAGAGCTGCACTTTATTACAGTGTGATCAGAAGCTAGTGGTTTGTAGCAGAGCGATTCAAACCTTAAGCTTTTTTTTTAATAAAATGATTTAAAGAGTAATGGAGATCTGTTTGAAGATGTATTTTTAAAGTTTGAAGTGTTGCTGATAAAAGACCGTGTTGACGTATTGTTCAATTCCTTTCAGTCCTTATATTTTCTTGGTCTTAAACTAAAGTCTTAAATTTACTGTCATAAACCCTGCAAATAAACATTTAACTTAAAAGAAATTACATTTTGCATCAAGGAATTGAGCTCTTTTTAGGACCATCATGATTTACATTTATAGCTTTTGTATATCCTCTTATTTTCAGTGATTGTTGTTTTATTGACTAATAAAAACTATTGTTAGGACTTTTTAATTTTGAATGTTAAAAACAGTACACATTATTATTATTATTATTATGTATCAGCTGATATGGTATGTGTGTGTTGATCTGTGTGTGTGTGTGTGCTGCAGCATCGCTTCCAGCCGCAGAACCCTCTGCAGGCGGCGCAGGCCTTCAGTCCTCGAGAAGCAGCGCTGGAGGACGATGAGCTGAGACTGAGTGCTCACACACTGCTGCTGCCCACCAGAGGACAGATGGAGGCACGCATGATGGTCACCGCCTTCGAGATGGGCCTGGACAACGTGAGCGAGGATGCCGTCAGCACCGTGTTCTGCGCGCTGGAGGTGAGTGTACGATGGAGACGGCCTCCCAGCCACAAAAGGGGTAAGTGACGTTTCTTCTATTGTCATTTACCCTGTGGTTGGTTGAGGCTGTCGACTAAAACCCGGTTTCTCTGTCCCTGTTCCGGCGCGGGGCGAGAGGGAGAACTGCCCGGAGAGGAATCCCCGCCCCGCCCGCTTCGACCGCTTGGAGCCTGGTTGAGGATGGCAGCACTCCCGTGCGTGCGGCGGCGTGATGACGGGGATGTCGCTTGGGGGGGGGGAATGTGATGAGTCAGCTGCCTCCCCCTAATTATCATCATCACCCCGTCCCTTAATTGCCGCCCTTCGCCAGGCTCCCGACGGGAGTGGGGG